ACTGCTTCAAGGTCTACTCCTCTTTGCAATGATTCAAAATTATATGCTTGCTGTGGCTCCTGTAAATCCTGGAATTCCTCAATCCTTATTTTCTTTTCCAAGTGCTTCTCTCCATTGTTTGAAAAACTGACTAAAGARAGGGTGTCTGCTTTACGTATGCACAGCRCAATGTAGATTGCACCAGCATTACAGTGAGAAAAAACAAGTAAGTAGCCACTGTTTAGGAAGAATGACAGCTTTCAATCTAGTAACTGATTAATAACTGTAAATACTCAACAGCCCAATAAAAGCTGGCCTAAAGATGTCACAAAGAACAGAATAGTATGGTATATATGTGTAAACACAGGAATATTCCCACCCTATACAACACAGTAGAATCTTGTCACCTTTGCTTCACTTGACCTGCAAAGCACCAAGGAGCTCTGGAATTTGTCAAGGACTTCAGACACAAGATACATTTTTTAAGACTGGGCATCATAAAGGCCATGCTTTCTTTTTTATCTGTAGAAAACCTGACTGTTTTATCCACAGTATATTTAGGATCCTGTAGTATAAAACCAATTTCAGTTGATTCTACATATTTTATATGCATTAACTCAGTAAAACTGAACAGTGACACACCAAATTAACATACCACAGGAAGGAATGTCAAGGCACTGTAGTATATGTTTTGGCCTCTRATTGATTAATTTTCACAGCAGTTACTCAGAAATAATAACAATAGCTTTCCCACCTGCATTATGCATTTCAGAGTTAAACAAAATCTGCAAATGACTTTTAAACATTTACACTGTAATTTATCTGAGGCAGAAATTAAGTAACAGTGATTCATGAACTCTGGTTAATGTTTGGGTTTTGGTTTTTTTTGGGTTTTTTTTTTTTTTTTTTTTTTTTTTTTTTTTTTTTTTTTTTTTTAGCCTTTTTTAAAGTTAAGAACAAAGTTCATGTGTGGTCTGTAACTTTGAGAGAGACATAATGTTAAGCAAGAAACTAGTTGAAAGGGATGTGCATAGCTACATGACTGATACTCTCTTTTTTCCCCATTTCCCCCTAGTTAAATTTACCACTCCAATACTTAAAGATGGCAAAAAGTGCATAAATATTATTTATTTGGTTTCTTGTTTGTAGAGTACTACTTGGGGATAATTTCTAGATAAATTACAGTGAATATCATAGGAATTGCCTTTCATCATGASTTCATCTTCCAACCAGGGGCAAGAATAAACAGCATTTTTCAATGCTGGAACTTTTGATCTTCATTCTATGTTTGAAACACCTTGTTTACCCATTTCAAAAGTATCTATATAAAATAACATGCATCATCTGATAATCTCATTTGAGGAAAATTTGGATGAAAGTTTCATATCAAAGTTTGTCCACCAGTTTATGGGACACATATTATAATTAAGAAAGAACTGAGAGCACTGAGGGAAGAACAAGATTTTATTAGTATTTCAGAATAAAGAATATGTGTAAAAAGAATATAGATAATTACAATTTCATCCCTCAGATTAGGGATATACTGTATTTAAAAAGAAGTGTAGTTATATAAAATTTTCAATCCTTTTAGAAGCAGCCCAAAATGCTGAGAGCAAGCAATTAAATAGTATACAATTAAAAAAAGTCTTCCCTTCTTACTTTTGATATTTTTCATCATATCTTTGGAGTGCAATATATTTACCATGATTTATGACAGGAGATCTTCCCTTATCTCTGTCCTTCTCATTCTCAAGTCAGGTCACCAAATACCCTGTGATGTCCAAAAGAATTCCTATGATACATTTGCTCTCTTTTAAGAGAAGCATGTTCGCATCCCATGCAAAATATTCAAAGAAGCTATTTTTCATTTATTCAAAGGAACACTAAAAACTATTTGTATTAACCCTGACCTTACCATTAAATGCTATGACCTTAACTCTTAGCCTCTAGGCAATTAAAAAAGAATAAATTGTTTGAGTACATCCAGCCAATGTTTGTTAAAAAAAAAAGTATAAGTTGGAGCCATGTGGTCTCAATCAGGCAGTAAAAACTCTCCTTATTTTCTTAAATGCACAACTGCAGTATGCCCATAACCTCTCTTTTAAATCATCTTAACCAGATCTGAATCACTCTCACCACAAATGATTCGGTGGCCCTGGAATGTGCTGGGGTAGACAGAGTTGCTCTGCAATAAACATTGAGACATTTCCCACTTTCCTAGTGTTAAGAGAACAGTCTGAAGAAGAAAAAAAGTTTTCTAAAAGGTTAAAGCCAAGACCAAAAGTGACATCATAGCTCAATCATTCAAGAAAAAGAGAAAAAAATCCATCTACTGCCTAATAAATCACTGTTGTGTGCCACAAAACACAGTGAGCCAAYACAGCCAAAGAACAGCTTTACTTGCTGAGGCAGGGATACCACAAGCAGTTGGCAGATGCATATGTAATTGTATTCACAGAGTCACTAAATCCTTTAAGCCAGGCAGAGTTGGAGAAGCTGATCAATTAAAAAAGTAGAATATGCACCATTTCAGCAATAATCTGTGTATGTACAACATGCACATTACAGTATTTCTTACCACAGGTCACCACATTTTTTCACAATTTAGCATACAGATATATGACACTTTCTTAAAAGCTTCTAGGCATATCACGTAGGATCAAAAAAAAGTTTTGAGGTACCTGCATTACCTGAATGTATGCTGCTAGGCTTCTTCACCTTGAGTGAAGTCCCCTTGAGCAAGTAGAAAGGACAGGCACAAAACCACCTTAGTTTCCTCAGCACATCGCAGAAGGAGTTCCAAAATATTACTTACATCTAAAGTTATAACAGAGGAAAGGGAATGTAGGTCCTTGGGGACTCCTAAAAGTCACATTTAAGCAGCAAATGAGCAAGTTTTGCTTAAATAACTGTAAGATTCTTAAATGCCATTTCCTCTTTAAAACTCTGTCTGGAGCCTGAAAGATTTCTTTCAGTCTTAATCACCTCAAAAAACAATTTAAACATGYGGCCAAAGTGATGTGCATTTAAAACAGGAATAAACCAGAGCCAAGACATTTGGATCCAGTTATTAACCTTCTTATACTTCATGGATGTAGGAATCCAGGGATTTTGGTACAGGCCCATCTCTGAACTCAACACTCATTGCCAAACCTCACAGTCAATAGAAAATATGCTTTAACATATCAAAGCAGGAAAAGCAGCATAAAGATGTCAGATTTTTCCACCACATCAATGAGAAAAAATGTCATTATAGCACCCATGTAAATTGTGAAACTGAAAGCAGCTGCTCAGGCAACCTGACATGGTGCCATTGGCAGAGGGGGGGTCCAACTCAGGAAAACAATATTCCATTTTTAGCTCTGAAAAAGAATCTTTGCTAGTTCTAGTGTGTGATTCCTGTTCAGTGAATAACTTTCTATAAATAGGGTAGTAACTACTATAGAAAGAATTGCCTTAGTACCTGGCAAGCAAAATGTGTACTAAACATCCACAACATCCTAACTAATTGCACACCGTGCTGCTGAGCACTGTTTCACAGTCAAGCTATTAACAATTACCACACCAAGCTGAGTATTCTCCCAAATGAAGGATGAAAGCCAGAATGACAAAACTTTGGTTTTGAGTTGCTAAATTAGAAAAAACTAATATACAGACTTTAAACAAACAGTTAATTGACTGTGACTGCTATACTTTGCACAGTCACATATTTGCTCATTCAGCATATTTTTCATGTGACTAGATTCACCTTCACAAATACTTGATCACCAGCAGTTAATAACTGGGTAGGGGGAAGGAACTGCTCACTTTGTCAACAAAAAATATTTGAATAACTCCTTGAAGTAACTGATGGAGCCAGAATTAAGGGAAGGGAAAGGAATTTTTTCCCCTTTTCAGGTCTATTGTCCCAGTAAGATTTGCTTGTTCTTTGTTTTAAAAGTACATAAGTACATTCGCTTACCTGGTCTTTTCCCCTTTGTCAGTTTTACACAGTTGACTTTCTGCATTTCAAGGGTTTCTTATTTTACCACTTTATTAAGATAACCCACATAGCAAGACATAATAGCATGCTGATACCAGGGTTTATCAGTAGATTTAAAACAARTGAGTCCCTGCAGTGAACTTCCTTTGACAGCTAGATGGCATTTCTGAGACCAAAGTATTTGGATTAACCTGCCTCTGTTCTAATCATTATAAAACTTCTCCTGAAGACAATACTGCAAGATTTTTAAAAAAACTCTTTGTAACAAAGCAAACAATTTTCCTAGTAAACATAAAAGGAAGCAGTCTTAACACTTTGAAAAAAAAAAGAATACCTAAATAATTTTGCGTTTTGGAAGAAAGCTGTCTCTTTTTACAACTCATGCCCTGTCTCAGAGTCATTTATTCAAGCCTACACTCTTTTACAYTGTACATTAGCTTTCACTTGCATGCCCTAGAACAGTAGACTCTCTTTCTGTTTAAAAAGAGATTCACTTTGCTCCTAATAGCAGGGAGAGGAAGGGGGAGGGGATTGCTCTGAATGAATGCCGATCATTTAAAACAAGTTTATTTTGAGTGCCTATAAACTAACTAGTGTTGGGATGCATCTGATGCCTTTAYATTCCCCATCCTCCTGAGTTTTAGCTCTACTTGTATCCTCTGTGATGGAACACCTTTACTTCCCAGGTTCAGCACTTGCACKTAAAACAAATGAGTTACTCTGCCAGTTAAAGATCCTCTGTACTATACATGGTTCAAAACAAAACAGATTTGCAGAAAACCCAGTAATGAAGCCATTACGAAATCTTTCCAAAACTGTACAGACACTTAGGAATTTTGTTAAAAAGGATAAATACTTATAAAGCTTTTTGGAAAAGGAGAAATGAGAAACATTTTACTGCTAGGCAATGTTCCAAGACCACTATAGCAGCACACACTGTATGATTCACTCACATACTTTTTTCCCCTCTCCTACTGTAGTAAGCCAAAGCACCTTATAGTTTCTTGCACCTTTATACACATTTAATGCTGTCACTTACCGTTGTGGCACAGAGGGACCCCACCCCCGCAAAAAGGCTGAGAGCTGATGGTCTCTGAGTCCTTTATTCCTTGACCAGCCCCGGCTCTTAGCTTTGCTGCTGTAAATTCACCCTATTCCGCAGACGAGCACAGAAAAATTTAATAGACAGCTGAGCTGCCAAATTCCAACCACCACAATCGGCAATGAAGACGTTCTCCCTAGTTCTGACTGAGTCCAAAGAACAAAGCCTGCTGGCAATGAGGAAGCGGAGTTTAAGTCCTCTGGCTCCAGTCCAACTGTTGCTCTTGCTTTTGCTGCAGAGTACGTGAGAGTGTTTGCATGAGCTTGTAATGCGTGTAAGAGATGGGGGCTGGGGGAAAAGAGGGTGTGTGTAAGGGGAGGAATGTTAGCCATATCCAAAAATAACATGAAGGAAGTCAAGTAGTGATCAGTCTCCCCTCATTCTCTCTCCTTATCACATGTACTGAGAGTCTCTCTACCCTAAGATTCTGATCTCAAGAGTAGGTAGAGAAAAAATTCTATTGTGACTTGCAGCTCATATGATTGTGCTTTTAAATTGCAGCTGGGGAGCTGTACACTTACAAGAACACGTCACAAAATGGATGATTTAGTAACAATTTACTTGATAATACTGCAGCCAATGTGCATTTCACACTGTGCATATTTGTTTGCAAACTGGAGAGAAAAAAACCCGAAACTATTAACGTAGTTTACTACACAACAGAAAAAAACAGTGTCACCTTCGCCTGTCCAGAAGTTCCTAAATTTGAACCCTAGGTATTACCAGATACTGATTAGTGTTGATTTTCAAAATAGAAATGTTRCAAGTTTACAATATAATGCAGAAAATGGAATATAAAAAGCCTTACATAGATTTAATTTGCCCTGTTTTTTTTAGAATTATTTTGAACCAATTCCACATATAGAAGAGCATTGTGTCAGACAGAAAATCAACACCTATGACACAACACAAACAAGAAAATCCCAGCTAAAAAATTTCCTTCCTGAATAATCAAATAACTATAATGTAACTATTGTGACTCTCCTTAGTCTGTTAAAAGTCTTAGAATATTAATTTCAATAATCGTGGGCTTTTAAAAACCTTACAAAGAGTCAACAAATGAGCAACAAATCTAAGGGAAAATAATAACATATTAATGAATGAATATCAGAATCTTCTGAATTGGAAGGGACCTGTAAGGATCATCAAGTCYGGTTCTTAAGGGAATAGCCCATAGAGGGATTGAATCCACAACTTTGGTGCTATTAGCARCACACTTTTACCAACTGAGCTCATCTCATGATAGCCCCAGTATTATTTTTATTACCTGTATTTAACCTGGTTTCATCAAAACAGCTTGAGGAGCTCTAAGACTACTTTTAAACCCAGAAACAGTCTATTATGGAATAGTATCTTTCATATTTCTAACGTTTTCCATGTATGGGATTTATAATATTGTAAATTATATATTTAAAGTACTTTTTAAAGTTATACAGTCTTGAGGATAGCACCACCAGAAATTAATTGCATCTCCAATTAGCTGTGTGATCAGCTGTTATGTACAAGACAAAAAAAAATTAACCAACCAACTACAGGCATAGTAGTTTGTCACCATCCATCTCTAGTCAGCACTGGTCAGCTTTCTCTGAAACTGTCTTTCATTTTKGAATAGGTGTTTGAATTTTTTATTCTGTTGGTATGTAAAATAGGAAGATTTGCCTTTTTGTCTCTTTATAGCCAGGTAAAAGTTCAGTTGAGTSTGTCAGTGGTCTGACCAAATTTAATTGGGGTTTGTTTGTGGATTTGCTTCTTTTCATTTCCCCTTTTTAGTAAGGGATAATTTCTCATTTAGCATTTTATTTACTCTGTTCTCCACCAGGATATCCAGGAACCCCTGGACATGTGTAATTTTGGACTGACTTAGAGAGCCTCCATATACACTGATGCAGTCACAGGTCCATTAGCCCAGCTGAGTGTGGRCTATAATATAAAGAAAGGTCAAAGCAATTTTGGTTTTAATTTAATCTCTTGCAGATTAATTTAGACCATGATTTTAAGGTGTTTGATGTGATGCTGGGTATTTTAGAAAAGAAAAACTGGTCAACTTCAACAATAAATGGTTTTGAAATACCAATTTTCTTAACAGAAATAAAAGTGTGAAAGAAGGCAGAAACTAGTTAGAAAATAGACTCTAGTGTGCCAGTTTCAAYGATGATAGCATAAATCAGCTACGTGTTTACACAAGACTTTGTTCCTCAATATGGGAGATAGTGTAGCTCAGACCTAGTAATTTCCACATCCAGGATCAGTACTTCGGACCTACCCTTATTTTATTCTTTAGTAAAAATAATGAAGCTTTCGATATATTACATTTCCCTTCATTCCCATTACATTTACATTAAAGAAATTAAAGTGTTTTTCCAAATCCACTAGCAGAAAAAATTTTATGATAAAATTTTAAAACTACAAATACACTCAATGTTGAAGGTAAATCTCAGAAGCCTATAGAAACCATCTGGAATGTAAGGAAGTTACAATGATTTAAGTTTGCCTTCCTGCATATTCACTAGAGACTGAATTTCAATATATTATAAGGCCATAAAAGTTACCATAAATCCAAGTTCTGTACCAGGAAGTTCAGAGTCCTACCGTAATGTATTGTTCTGCGGATACTTGGTAGTATTACAAAGCTTGGCTTCTTTGTTGTCTTGAAGTTTGCCAGCCTAAATTTAACCTGACAAATTTCACATGTAATGAAAGATCAAGAACAGATAAGATTACCTGAGGGCTTTTAGTCTACACCTCATCCTATCTGGAACATCAGCTGCATTGAATTTGCTGAATTGGCTAATTACAGTTCTGACTCAAAAAACATACTCTTCGAGAGGACAGCTGTAAGCACACATTTAGTTTGCAATGCAATCAAGTCTCCAGACAAGAGAGGATAGTCCAAACCCTAGTTTTAGTCCAGACATTTGAATTGTTTTGCTATTATGGAAAAGCATGGGCCTAAAAGAATATTAATTCAGCAAAATTATACAACGTAAAGACAAAAAAGCAAGCAAACAAAAAAGCTGTGGGGAGCTGTGACCTCCTTTTCCTCTGTCTGTTGTCATAATCAGACCCAAAGCTGTTTTYAGGAGACTTTAAAATCCAGACAAGCCAAAATTCCAATATTATATGATAAATTGAGTATTTCAGTAGCTGATACTCCACCGTGTTTACCTATCAAACAAATCATTACTATCATAGATATTATGTTCTTGTTATTSTCCACTGTCTACATAGACATGCAATACATTAAAAAAACACCCAAATGTGACTTCGTTATTGTATAATTAGTGAGCCAGAACATTGAACCTTTCAGGGGTCTAGTTGCATAAAATATTACACTAATATTGTTGTTATTTAACTCAAATATAAGCAACCCTATGACACTTAGGAAACTTACAAAAATGGTGTRTTTGCTAATTTGCAGCTGATCTGCTCCAAGTGATGTCTTATTTTCTRCCTACAAACAACTTATTTCCAAGCTTCAAATTCTGATCTATCAGAATTAAGCTTGCTTTCCAACTGTTCTCATTTCTAGTCAAAGAACGAAGGAAAAAGAAAAGATATATATTACAAATTCTTTCMTTGAAATGTCATTCTTGTTTCATACAGAAATGAAACATTTTGTGTTCATAATGCTTTGACTGGTACTATATAGTCATCATCATTTGATTGGTGCTCAGACCAGATGGCTGTAGTAATTTTKAAGCATTGGATAAATGCATTAAAAATTATAATCAGCAAAAAATAAAATTGATTGAAAAGAGTCTTTAAGGGTGATCACAGCATTCTAAGTAAAGTATGAATTAACTAATTTAATTAAAAATTAAATTAGTTTAATTTAAAAGCTAATTTAAAAGCTAGCAGTAGCTTTTAAAAATAAAGATTTTCTCATATTACTATAAGGGAAGGCCCATTCAGAAGGGTTATGGTGGGTTCTCCTGGACTATTTGCATCAAGAATCCATCATATTTTATTTTTTGGTCTCCCAAGAATAGTAGTATAATACAATAATACCCAAGGAAAGAACATATTTTGCTCTCTTATTCTCAGTGTTTACTAGTCGCAAGATCTGGTAAGTAGGGCCATTTAACAACTTTAGCATTATGTATTCTGTACGCACAAATAAGTATATTTCCAATATAGCCTATGCAAATTTGGTATTCAGCAGTAAAGGTCAGACAGTGTTTGGATGTAGAGAGCAAGACAAGGGCTATAATCTAATAAAAGAGACAGAGACAAGAGTGGTGAAAAATGTAAGAAGATGGAAGACTGAGGTCAGACTGAGGTCTGTATTTTCTGAATTCAAACATTTTCCTTTTCATATCTACATCCGAAATTGTTTAAACGATGACTCATGCTGAATTTATCTTTGATAATAAAACATTTAAAGGTTTTGCTTTTTCTATCCATACAGCCTTTACATGGTTTCTATGGCTGCTGACCCAAAGCCTGCTTTATCATCATCTCCTTTGCTCCATCCACTGCTTCTAAAGATTTGTGTTCTTTTAAAAAGAGAAAGTGTTTTTGTGACATAGGTTTATAGAGGAACTTTTTCTTTGTAAAGATAACATAGGTTTATAGAGGAACTTTTTCTTTGTAAAGATAACATAGGTTTATAGAGGAACTTTTTCTTTGTAAAGATAATGTGTGAAGTATTTGCATGTTCAGAACTTATTCAGTCTTGAAATTTCATTCTCCAAAGGGCATAAAGAGCATTTAAACTTTTTTGAAAGTGAGGCTTACCACATATTTTCAAAGTCTTTTTTGTCTCAGAGGTATAACATAAGTTAGTTTTTATTTAAGAGAAATATAACTCCCTTTCTTCCTCAATTTTTTTCAATAAACTTTCAAAGAAAATATGATCTAAATCAGAGGAAAATAWTTTTTTTTTGCAATGATTTCCTTGTATGAATATTTTCTTATTTTAAAGATAAAAGCATATACATAATTCTTTCTTTGAATTTGCCAGGTTTCTACTTATAAACATTGTTAATTTTCTTCTATGCAGTAGAAATGCAGAGGAATAACATATTGAAAGCAACTGTATAAG